CAGAACTGGAATCGCATGGGGGTATCATGAGCGAAGCAGTATACTCTGTTATACCCGTAGTACCTACTGCTCATGTCTATAGACGTTTTACCCGTGAAGCAGTTGTGTTTGCATAGTGTTTCAGTTTGAAGAGTGAAGATATGGCAGTGCATTTACAGGGTACACTCAGAATATCACATGAGATGTTTAATAAGAAGCAATCAGGGAATAGATGAAGCAAAACAGTATGGTCTAGTAGGTTCAATGATCAAATCCAAATATTGGTAAATCCAGCATATAATAGAACAATATGATAACGTTAATAGTATAATATTACTTCGAGGATATTATTTAGAGGCATTGAAGCGAATAAATTTGTGTCGTATCACGACGATTTTAAAGTATAAGATCGTAGCGGACAGCATACGAGTATATTTTAACATACGTCGTCAACGGCATCAGATAGTGTTGGAGTTTTAATACTGGCTGTAGACACTGAGGTTGTTTTAGAACATGTATTATTTTTAAATATTATTCTGTATCAGTCTTTTATGAAACGCGGCTTGTGTTTTTTCATTAAATTGAATATTTTGTATTACAAATATATATTAGGTTCTTACATATGATATTAGCGTTTTGTCGTACTGACCACTTTGATCTGAAATATCTCCTTTTGAATTTGGAATTCTTTGGTTAGGAATTCCAAATTCAAATTTATAAATTCTTTTATCTGGTACATTTGAGTTTTGAAAACGGTCATTAATTTGTTCTTTCCTCATTATTTTTTCCTTGGCGTCGCTTATTACCGCACAATGGAAAACATGAAATAACGGTATATTTACGAGTATTTTTGTTCCGAAAATTTCAACCTTTAGAACCAACCCCGTGGACGGCCAGAGACCAAAGTGTCAGCCGCCATTTACACTTTCTTGGTGTATTACAGTTTAATAAATAAATAAATGAACGATCCTAATTAAGTTTATTATACGGACTAGTAATGTAATCTATAAAGTTATTATGCACGAATACATTTTCATATTATTATACTATGAGAAATTTAATTAAGATTGTTAAGAATCAGCCATCCTAAAATCCTTAATATATTTAATTAGCGACGTCTAGATTCTAAATAAGATATAGCCTAACCTAAGATTTCATTCAATTCGAGATATTTCACATAAATTGTATTAATACTATAAAAGCGAAAAATACTAAGGATAAATAATAATATGGATGTTTGTTGCTCTTTCACGCAATAATTACTGATCAACTTTCGTGTGGTAATGTCTTTTTTTATGCAACTTAGAATGGCAAACAAGCTGACGGCCCACCTGATGGAAAGTGGTAACCGTCGCCTATAGACATGAGCAGTACCATGGGCATAACAGAGTATACTGTTTCGCCGATGATAACCCCATGCGTGGCCATTCCTGAGGACTTAGGTGTTATACCTCTGTATCCTGTAAATTCACGCTATATCCCACCCTTCAAACCGAAACAAAGCCATACAAACACAACTGCTTTACGGTTGAAACACGAACGAGACAGAGGTATCCAAGCAAACGACTTTTGTACAAAGTCTCCCTCTGGTATATAATTTATTTTAAATTGAAAAAATAATTGTTAAACAATAAAAGCAACCAATCACGTTTTTGTTTTAATTCTAATATTCGTGAATATTTATTTGCTTTGTTTCTACCAATTCATATATAAAATATTTTAGATTCTTCTATAATTTTACATTGAATGAGGTACAGAGAAGAAAAAATGCAGTACTAAAGACTACATAGTCTTTTTTACCTAAATTATAATATCTAAAGGTTAAAATAAATTTAAAGCAATTACATTCAATCGAAACCAAATCTCCTTAAAACGTGAAAATAATTGAAACTTGTTTTATTTATATTCCCACCAAATCTGCTTCGAGCTTATATTGTGTAGGTGAATAACCTACTGTGTATCTCACTCTAACATGTATGTTATTATATTTATTTCCCTGTTACACTACCAATGCACACTATTTTTAATCTATGATCTAATAGGATAGAATTTTAGCACAATATGTATATTTATTAAATTCCAGACAAATTATCACACTGAAAACTAGGCAGCATGGTCTCCGACATTAGCCTAACAAACGTATTAAAAAAAATATTTATTAATCTGTGTTAAATCTGTATTTAGTTAAAACATGTATTTGATTTATTCAATATTTTCTAAGAGTCTGTAATAAAATACTACGCTGCTACAGCCGTGGTGTCTTAAATAATATAGCAACACTATAAAATCGTCTACTTTGTGCTGAAAGGATACAGTACGCAATTTACATTACAAATGTACAATGCATCCTTATTTTGTGAGAGAACCCATTTGAATAAGTAATGGCAACACGATACTTGGAGCTGTGAATAGTCCAATGATTAGACGAAATTTATTGTCTTATAAAAAGTAGTACATTTTAAATAACTTACGATAGAAAAAAAAAATTATTAGTTGCGTTAAACGATTTATCGACAATTTATTCTAAATCGATTTTCAAAATTCATTTATATAATCTTTTTATGATACGATGTATGTAAACAAGCAGTTGTTAGGCCACTTGATGGGAAGCAGTAAAAGTAATTATAAAATTCACTCCCGTGTTGGTTCCATATTAATTTTGTTACGATTAATGTTGTCGTACATGTGTGAGATCGAACGTGTGTGTGTGCGAATTTGTGTGCGTGCCAGTGTATCTCTCTCTCACTCTCTCCTCGTGTGTGTATGTGTGTGTGTGTATGTGCGTGCGTGCGTACGTGCGTGCTTGCGTGCGTGCGTGCATACATGTGTGTGTGTGTGTTTTGGTTTATGATTAGGTCGCTTTTAAATGTAATTTATAAGTCCCGATGTTTTTCCGTTTGAAGTCAGCAAAGAACATAAAAAGCACAGAAACGTGCAAGGTTTTTCCCTCTAAAAATTGTATGTTGTTCACTGCGGAAAGAAAATGGCCGATTACTAAAGAATGATGTGACGATTAATGCCGGGACCCGAAAAGAAAGGGCGTTGAGTTGAGAACTGTACTTTCCTTCGGGCGATAGGTACATAATGCTTTATATAACACCTACGAGGTAATCACGTGTAACACAGGCCTGTTACTTATTTGATTGCATTTAATAAAGAACTGCTATCTAGTGTCTACAAATATTTAAGTCAAGTACTATATTTTTTATGCTTCTGTTTTAATTTATCGAATAGTGAATTATTATTATAATTATTATATATGGTACATTTGCTTTAAAAATTTAAAAGAGCCACTAAAAACTACTAACATGTGCTAAGACAAAATTTGCTTGCCTTTAGATAAAGCGAAATGTGTAGTTCTGCTATCATTTAAGACCATTTGTAGAAACCACATTTCGAGTAAATAAATTATTTATTTATTGTCAATTTATATTTCATATGAACTATTTTCTTTCATATTACTTCACTTTTATTCAACACTATGTAGTATTCATGCGTATAAATTGAATTGAATTGAATTTCATTACCTACTACATCTACTTAATCAAAATGTTAGAGTTTATTTTAACACTCTGCATGTACAAATAATTTACAAATTTAGATATATCAATTTACAAATTAATTAAGGTTAGAGATATTATAATATAATTTTTATTCCTTCTTAAAAAAATTGAATTTAGACCTAAAAATATAGTTTAGAAAAATTTCTATACGGTATATAATAATATGAACAAAAGTGTATAATTTAAATATTTTATATATCCATATAATTGGTTAGATAATTAGAATTATTTTGTTTAATTTCGCTACCATTAATTTGTGTGTATGTAATTTATTTATAGAGTGTGACTGCGAACATTCGATAAATAAATTAAATGTCGTCGTCAATTAAACGTTGGCAGTTGTACACATACTAATGTTAGCGGAATTAAACAAAATAATTCTAATCAAATAAACAAAACATTTTTTTATTTACCTCTCTACACTTTGAACGTGCTCACTGAGAAAGTCAGATCACATATCAAATTTTTATACCTTTTCTGTTATTTTCAGCCGGCACTAGAGTGGGGAACGTTACCGCACTTTTTCTTTAGAACAAGGTTATCTTTCCCCGTCAAGCTGGCGGCAGATGTTCATAAATTCAACCCTTTATCACACGCTTCTTATTTCAGCCCGCGATAATAACCTGATGGGCCATTTTGTATCTCTTTTACCCGTGTTTATTTTCGGGCGAGCGGAGTACATTTTCACGTTTGAATATTTATTAATAGGTACAACTGTTTTTTTAATGTACAGATTTATTAAAAGAAAGGTCGGATTTAAAAATTGATGCATACTTTACCTTCATATGACTTAGAGAAGTGGTTTATTTAAATGATTTTCCCACTTTCACAATTTACCTGTAAGGTGTCGCTGGCAAAACTAGTTTGTTTTGTTTGTTTGTAATATTTTTTTTTATTGTATCAGCCGTTATCCTATGCACTGCTGAACATAGTTTCACCCCTAAGGAGGGTTTTTCCAGTAATTGCCATGCTTAGTAGGTGGATTGGCAACCGCAGTTTAAATTTTTGGTGATGTTTTAGGAGGGACGCTGCTGCTCATCCCTCGACCATAAGCTCCCTTAGTCAAGAAGGAAAGCCCTTAGAAAAGGAATGGTCTATTCTATGCCGGGACCTACACGGCACACTTTATTATAAACTCTTATAGTATACAGGTTCTTAAAAAAACAATAAGTACAATGGCGGACTAATTTATGTTAAATAAACAGTATAAACAAGTGCCACACATTCACTAGGTCGTAAAGCTAGGATTATGAGGAAGAATACGATGTTAGCTATGTGTTATGAGGAAAGATACGACGATAATCTATGGGTAAAATGGCTACTTAGAATACCCAGATCTGAATCAATTAAGAAAAGTTCGTTTTCCAAATTGGTCCGACCGGGAATCGAAACTAGGCATTCATTTATGCAAAGCAACGTGATCAATAACAAAGTAATAATAAGTATGTTTGTTGACAGTTGGCGAGATCGAACCAAAGTCAAGTAGTGCTGACGCGGGTAAGCTTCGGACTTTCTGGAAACTTCAGCTGCGAGGTCACCGCGGACGCGCCCTCGTTCGCCACGTCCATTGTGTCTAATAACATGGAGGTAGTCGGTAAGTATCTTTGTGTACTATCAATTATTATTTTAGTTGCTCACACTAACAAAAAACTATATCCCTACCATAAAAATGTTTTCAATCATATCAGCCGTTAATTTTATGCAATAAACAATGAGATATTGTTAATCGTATTTTATTACATTTTCTAGGATTTATTGATTTAAAACTCAATATTTTACAACTAAAGTCTATAATCCTTACTAATAACATTAATGTGAAAGTGAGTTTGTTTGTTTGTGTCTTTATTACTTGTTAGCGCCTTAACAACTTAGCCAATTGCTATGAAATTTGGTGTACACTATGTAAGATGGAGAATATTATAGGCTACTTTTTATCCAGACCATGCGTACGAATTTACAAGTAAAAGCTAATAAATTACATAAATACCTACTACGGTTTAAATTCTAAATTTAAAATCATATAAGAGTGTTTTGTTTAGGAAAACCCATTGTGTGTAATGGTTGATTCACAAATTATTACATTCACCCACATATCACAATTGGCGCTCGGTACACTCACACAAGCCAAAATAAGTGGGTTAAGTGTCGCTCTTATCTCAAAATAGTGAGACGAGTACGCCTGTTTTAACGGGCGCGCCCGAAAATGCCTACAACTGGATATCTTTTTATCTTTTCTAAATATAATACTCGTGAAAAGAACCTTTGAAGAGCTCTCTTCACTGTTATCCTTTTATTTTTTATTCTCAAAGGCATATTAAATATGTATTTTATACAGATTCTCATGTGAAAACGGTATTTCAATACTAAATTAGATTTGTATTGGCTCGCAGTAATTTTATTGTGATTTGTAACCTGTCTGTGGTTTCATTTGTTTTCAACCGACTTCAAATAGAAGGAAGCTGTCAATGTATTGTGTTTTTTTTTTAAATATTTATTACCCCATAACTCTGTCAGTTCTGAATCAATTCTGAAAATTATTTTTTATCTGAAAGCGTATACTTACTGATTAGTCTCATAGAAATTATATCAAAATTTACTCAGTACTTATTTTTTTAACATGATATAATTGAGTTTGTTGAGTTTATTACAAATAATACAGTTTATAAAGATTAAGAAAATATACACAAATAAAATGTATAATTAATTATTTTTATATTGCTGTTGCTTTTGTGTAATAAACTTAATTACACAAAAACAAGATAAAAAGGTATCGGTGTCTAGCCTTATCGCTAAACAGCAATCTCTTCCAGGCAACCTTGAAAAGTGAGGACCCAATACCTAAATTAGGTTTTACACCTGTGCTATAAGCATCAGTGCTCTCTTTTGTGAAACCGAATTTATAATACCAATTCTTACTATAATATACTTAATTAATTAACACGTACATATTATTTTATTCAAAACTAAAAATTTATATGTAGTAAATGTGTGCAACATCTTGTACCTATTGTTAAGATACACTTATCATGTTTCTTGTAAATAAATAAACAAACAAATTTATATGGTAACAAATAAATAAATTCACTTTAACATTTATAATATTTGTAAGAATAACGAAAGAAACGCAGAAACTGTTATCATCAGAATGCAACAACAAGAGTAGTAACAACACCTTTGCTTATAGCATGTTATTTTGTTATTCAACAGTGCTGCCACCTACCTCGCCGTCAATACATACAAGTCAGCATTACTACACACCAGGGGATGTGATGAAGGCGAACTGCACATCAGGTCCGAGCCGACCTCCGTCCGTCCTCTCGTTCTTCATCAACGATATGCTTGTGAGTATGAACTAAACCAGGAACTGTGTATAGACGACTTTTGTGTGTGGATATTTAAATCCCAGTCGTGTTTCTGCCGTGACGCAGCTGTTTGCAACTTGCATGGTTTTATTTCGTTTTGGCTTTATACATAATCTTTAAGTTGTTTAGCAAGCTATGGAACGGGCTATGCTCGGAGCTCCTTTGCGTGATAGAATCCGAAATGAGGATATTCACAAAAAAATCAAAGTGGTCGACATAGCCTGAAAAACAAGCAAGGTGAAGAGGCAATAGGATTGTCACATTGCTCATAAAACCAGCAACCGATGGAGAAAAAATCCTTGATTGACAACCTTACTAAATGATGCGCCGACCTAAGATGCATTAAAGGAAGTCAGTGGATTCAAGTGACACGGGATCGTTATGGCATTCTATAAGGAAGGCCTATGTCCAGCAGTGGAAAGGTAATGGCTGGGTTACACTATCCGTGATCACGTGTAAACTGATGCTGACATTTTATCCTACCCACTCAATATCCTACATCACACTAATTGAGTTATTGATACGGAGTATATAAAACATAAAATTTACAGCGTGAAAGTCTAAAAGTTAATACATGATTCTGTTCGTATCCTATGAGCGACGGTTTTCACTTTTCATCGTGTCATGCCACGTCATGCTATTGTATCTGAACCATAATATTCTTCAAATTCGAAAATAGTTAAGGAAAAATATACGCCAAGTTTAAAGGTAGTTTTTTCTATACATAATATCAGTTTTAAATCAGACAGTTTTCTTGTACTTTTTCGCTTTTGTAACGCCTCTTACATGTATGATCAATTTTGCGTAAATGATTACTATGAGGAAATATACTATAAGGAAAGAAAGAACTGCATCAATGCTACACAAAGTTAGAACAAGCATCAATAGCATTCTGAAAATAATAAGCGAGACGTACAACTCGCCTTTCATTCGGTTTCTAATCTAGTCTACAATTACTACTTTATAATTGCCCATTTTTTGAAGTATTAAAATGAATATAGTATGTTAATCTTTAGAAATAAACATATGCCATTGCAGACTTTTCTGTAGACCTCTATAAGATACACAATTCCACCAAACATTTTTTTGTTATATTTCAAAGAGTTCATGCAGCATTTTTGTTAAAAGCTCCCATATGGCTTATTTTCTTTCGACACCACCAAATGCTGTTATATTTTAACCAATGTACAAAAAGCGTAACAAATTATATACTAAAACCTTCCTGGAAAACCGCTCTATCCATTGGTGAGAACAACATGAAAATCAGTGCAGTAGTTTTTGAGTATATCGCGAATAAACAGACAAACGTGGCGGAGGATTTTATTTTATAATATATATTGACAATACAATTTACACATAAAACATTTCTTATCCTATTCAAACAGTGATAGGAGTTGAACACAATAAATTGTTATTTCAGACTAATATTATTATATCAGACAAAACAACGTTTATCTCGACATCAGACAGTTTGACAACACAATATCTATTCTGGTCCTGCTGGAGGCAGTTTACAATGTAGTATCAATGTAATATACAATATGCTTGTCTTGGTACAGAATATTATGGATACTGTTACTAATCATACTAATACGATTATAATAATGTTGTGACTAGACGATGTCTGTACATTTAATTTATTTTAATTTCTTAAACATCGCCCCTATTTAAGAAATTAAAACTAATTAAATTAATTAATTTGCTTTTAAACAGCGAGATAGATTAAAATAACAAATTTGTGTTTTTTTACTTACTCAGAATGATAAACAAGCTAACGGCCCACCTTATGGAAAATGATAACCGTCGCCTATAAACATGAGCAGTACCATGGGCATAATAGAGTAAACTGTTTCGCACATAATCCCCCCCCAATGCATTGCTATTCCTGAAGACTTAGGTGTTATTCCTCTGTACCCTGTAAATTAAAATGCTTCATTAGTAATATCGATATTTGTAAAGAGATTAATTTGATTATATTTTTTATGTTACCTCATAACTCCGTCATTTATAAATAAATTTGAACTTAGTTCTTATTTGAACGGATATACTTTCAGATTGATCGCATAGATATTTCATTAAAATCGGTTCAGTAATTTGATTTTAGAATCAAAATGACTACTTTTGAAACAGCTGAAATTGGTGTTCTTTTTCGTGGTACAAAATCTACATGTATAGTGGATGATAATGGTATGGTAACCTCGTCTTCGCTATCGATATATGCTGGCGGGACACCCGTGAGGCATGATATATGAGAATGAAAGTGGGTCAGTTAGGAAATCGTGATAAATTGCTCACAAATTAGCCGCGGTGATATCCAGGTGGGACCGCGTAGAGGTCGCCCTGTAAAATATATTGCAATAGCAACTTAATGTAATGTAAATTCATTGAAATATCTTTCAATTAAATAGTAGTTCCTTGAATATTATGTTGCAATTGTGAACCCTAAATATTACACTATTAATTTTATCATCATCATACCAGCCGTTAACAGTCTATTGCTGAACATAGCCTCTCCCATAAAGGGAGTTTTGCCAGTAGTTGCCATGCTTGACAAGTGGGTTGGTAACTGTATTTAGGCTTTAGGTGATGTTTTAAGAGATACGCTACTGCTCATTCCTAGAAATTAAGTTCTCTTAGTCGCCTCTTACGACATCCACGGGAAAGGAAGGGGTAGCCCATTCTATGCTGGGGCTACACAGTAAACTAATTATGTTTAAAATATTTTTTATACACCAAAGAAATTTTCTAACAAATAAATATTCTATTTCTATTCAAATAAATTCAGAATAGAAACCAGAACAACAGTATTCATGTTATTAATTCAGGAATTCTCATTACTTTAAGGCTTTATGTATTTGAATAACTTGTATTTTACCTACCTAGTATGGGAAATAACAAAATCCTTTATACCTACTAAAATATCCAAGTATTAGCAGAAGGTCTACCGAATGCGCAGTATTAAAAGTTATTACTATTGAAATACTAAAGTGGCCAGATTATTCTGAGTTGTACTTATAGTACGCTTTGGTTGCGGACTTTGTCTAATAAAATATTGAAATCTAAAGTCAATGTTAACTGTACAACTTGTTTGTGAATAAAAATCGGATATTAAAGTAGATTTCTTTATAAATATTTTATAGAACTAGGTGTTATCTTGCGGAAGTCCATATCACTGGTTGTTTGATTAGAATTATTTTGTTTAATTCCGCTACCGTTAGTATGTGTGTGACTGCCAACACTCGAAGATTGATCACCACTATTACTAACAGAAGTTCCACAACCTTCTATATTAGTCATCAATCTCCGACTGCCATTTTGTTTACGTATGTTTTGCGACACGTGTTTCATCTCTAAACGAGGCATCTTTAGACAAATTATTTGATTGCTGTTCGGAATAACACACTAGGCTGTAATCAAATAACTAGAGATCTCTTTTTTATAATCAATATCATATTAGCCGTTAACTGTCCACTGCTGAACATAAGCCTTCCCCAGAAGGGGAGTTTTGCCAGCTATTGCTACGCTGGCAAAAGGGCGGGCGGGTTGGCAACCGCAGTTAGACTTTTAATAATGTTTTAAGAGGGACGCTGCTGCCCATCTTTCTACCAATACATAAGTTCCCTAAGTCGTTATTACGACACCCACGGGAAAAGAAGGGGTGGCCCATTCTATGCCGGGACTACACGGCGATTATTAGCTTATTAAAATTAGTTTAGACGAATGAAGTGACATTTTAAAAAAGATGTAATATTTTTATTGTATTTATCTCGCAATGAGGTGAAAGTCGTATATGTATATATATAAATATATATCAGTGTTTATGAAACTTCACTGTTTGTGAACAGTTGTTCACTAAGTATACTTATACATAGTTTACCTTAGTCGATTTTATATACTTCTCAAAAATTTATATGCATTTCTACACATAAAATGACCTTAAACAACAAAACTTGCAGATTTCGCGTGGTTATTAAATTTTATAGTTCGCGTTTCTCTGTAAGAGTATTAGGTACGCTTATTCGTTTTTATTTTCAGTTCGAATATTGCAAATTTTATTCGTACGTTCTGTAAAGGCTTTTAAATAAAATATAAACTTTGTAAATTCTAAGACTGGGTACCTATATGTACTTGTATTATTATTAACCGTTTGTAAAAAAGAATAAGGTTCTTAATGCTGTTTTTTTTTGCAACTGACTTTAAAAAAGATTGTTTATTTTTTATGTTTGTTACCTCATAATTTTGTTTGTAGTAAACTGATTTGGAAAATTCTTTCTTTATCCAAAAGGATATACTTATCGATTAGTTCCAAAGAAATTTTATCAAAATCAGTTTTGTAGTTTAGTTTTAAATCAAAATAACTGATTTTGTCACAATCGAAGTCGTATTTTTTTTATTATTTATTTATACAGAAAACAATAAACATTCATGAATACGTTTCTTAAAAATCACTTGCAAAAATCAGCGGCGAGATCTTAGACTAACGAAAAAATAATAAAACTAAATTTCGACCATCCAGATTAATGATCCTCTGCTGATGGGAAGATCATCCTTGAGGGCTTGTCTGGATGATTGAAATCTCGTAATTTTTTTAGGGATTTATAAGTGAAGGTAGATATAAAAATTATTAGTAGCATTTCTCATATGTTACACAGGTGTCACCAGGGTTATACCAAGTGCATCCAGCGCCCGAAGGTCTCTTCAGATCAGAACTGTACGTCCAGATCCAGCTGTGGCCAGCCCACTACGAGAGGGGGGCGCCGATCCTCCGATGTGAGGTCAAAGTGGGGGAACTGTATAAAGAAGACTCTGCTGTCGCGCTGTACTCAGCGAATAGTGATCCTAAAATTGAGAGAGGTATGTATCAAAATCAATTGCATCACAGCTACATGCTACACGCAGTAATATTTTTAACTAGCTATCCCACCACTTCACACACGTAAAACAGTGTATAAAGTATCATATGTGATAAGTTACAATACAATCTATCTGTTTACCAAGTTTCATTCAAATCCGTTTAGTAAATTTTGCATTGTAGGATAACAAACATCCATCTATCGTTACAAATTTCATATTTATAATCATAATAAGATTATTATATTATAACCCCAATTTATAAATATTTTACTGTACTAAGTGTTATCTTGCAGAAGTCCATACCACTGGATATTTGATTAGTATTATTTTGTTTAATTCCGCTACCATTAGTATATGTGTGACTGCCAACACTAGAAGATTGACCAACACTAAAACGGTTGTGGAACTTAAGTAGTAATAGTGATGGTCAAACTTCGAGTGTTGGCAGTCGCACACATACTAATAATAGTGGAATTAAACAAAATAATTGTAATCAAACATCCAGCATTAAACCCCAATATTGTGAATTGAAATATAACTATTAAATGTTTTGTGTATAATAATATCTATATAAGACTGAATTTACAGTAATATAAGATATGCTCATTATAAGATGGCTAAAGATTAAGATTGTACCCAGAATATAGAATTACTGTGCAATTTTTCATGTTTTTGACACAACGGCTATGCATTGATCAGACAGTTAGATTCTTTACATAATTTACTAGCTTATACCCGCGACTTCGTCTACGTGATCAAGATTACTGACAGGCTTGCTAAGTAGCATTCTTCATTCCATATAGTACGTGTATATAAAACACAGTGATTATTTATGTTGTTAATTAGGGCTGGGTAATAATATATATATATATATATATATATATATATATATATATATATATATTGTAGTTACAGTATCTATTTACGGATCCAATAACGGATATATTAAATAGCGGTTATGAAATATATAAAATTGAAATGAGGCACTCGGTTGAAATGAACATAGATATTCGACTGATACGAACGATATCGAGATGAATGATGACTCTTTTTCTACTTTCAATTTCCAGTGGAATATCCAATAACCATATATATCAGAGGGAGACTTTGTACAAAAGTCGATTGCTTGGGTACCTCTGTCCCATTCGTGTTTCAACCGTGAAGCAGTTGTGTTTGCATGGCTGTGTTTCGGTTTGAAGGGTGGGATATGGCGTGAATCTACTGGGTACAGAGGAATAACACCTGAGTCCTCAGGAGTGGCAACGCATGGGGGGTATCATGGGCGAAACAGTATACTCTGTTATGTGTATGGTACTGTTTGTTGGTATTGTGTGCGTAAGTAAATAAACCAGGAGAAGGAGGTGGGAGACTTTGTACAAAAGTCATTTGCTTGAATACCTCTGTCCCATTCGTGTTTTTACCGTGAAGCAGTTTTGTTTGCATGGCTGTGTTTTGTTTTGAAAGGTAGGATATAGTGGTGAATTTACAGGGTACAGAGGAATAACACTTGAGTTCTTAGGAATGGCAATACATGGGGTATCATGGGCGAAACAGTATACTCTGTGATGTCCATGGTACTACTCATGTTTATAGGCGATGGTTACCACTTTCCATCAGGTGGGCCGTCAGCTTGTTTGCCATTCTAAGTTGTATAAAAAAATACAGATATTGAAGTGATACAGATATTAGCCATTCTTGGCTGTAATCTAATAAATAACAATACAGAGTAAATGAATAAGCAAACAGTCTTTCACATTTATTATATAAATTTATTAAGTAATCAAGTCCCTTTTATCATGGCTGAGTATAAAATAGACGAAAGACTCCCGGTAATGTGCAATAAGCCGGGTATAATAATGTCAATTTAAAACCGGATATTGCAATCTTATAACCGGCCACAGTCTCGTTTTGGATGGAAATTGATTCCGGTTGTAAGCAATGCAAAGTTCGTCCGCGACGTCATTTCGTTCATAAAATTATCATAATCCACGTCATTATACGTAAATGCTCATATACTTTTGATCCGGCTTTTGATCGGATAATCCGATGTCCTTATTTAGGGTTGCCACAATTTTTTTATTTTTTATTATGACATTTTAATATCAGTAATTAAAAAAATATAGTAACTATATAGCTGCTTTTTATTAGATATTTTTTCGGTGTTTGTTATTTAAAATATTTGAGTTTAGAGTCCTATTAATAAAATAAATGTAAACGTTTGTAACGATAGGTGAATGGATGAATAAATGGGTGGATGATACTTCACGAAAAACTACTAAATAGATTTTAATGAAATTTGTTACATGAATAGGTAATATCCTAACTTAGGACGTAGGCTACTTTACGTGTTTACTGATTAATGTGGGCAAAGCCGCGGGATGCTGGATTGCTATTAATTTATATAATTAATAATAATATTTTTAGTCAATGCTCTATTAAATATGGAATTATATATTTTCCTTCTTATATTCTTGTATTTTAAAAAAATCATAATTTAAATCCCTAATAACGAATTCTAACAATTAAAAACAAAGATATGCTATTTTGAAAACATCTCTTTCATGTGTGAGTTTAATATGAAGCTTGTGTTTTGTTCACTTCGAAGTTTTGTACAAATTTCATGATAATTGATGGAGCACAACCCTATTCCATTCTAGAACTTTGGAGTTACTTTCTTTTAAATTAAATTCAAATCGATTTGTTAAATTATTATATATTATAATATAATATACTTAATTCATTGACAATTATTAATTGACAGTTCCCTATGGTTTTTTTTTTTGTTGGATAAAAATGGATTGGTAACTGCGCTTGCGCTAACGTGATACGCTGGCGGAGCACCAGTGAAGGGTGATCGATGAGAATGAAAACAGGCCAGTCAGCCTATCATGATGAATTCATCAGGAATTAATCATGATAGTTTCCAGAGGGAACCACGTGCAGGTCGACCTGGTTGGGTATATTGCTAGCAATGGGATTTTTAGTCTCCATTACTAACAATCCCTTTCCCTCAACTTCCCTATGGTTGACTGGGAGAGAATGCTTTTAGCATTAAGTCCGCCATGTACACATATATGTACTAATGAATATTAAAAATAAATTTATATTTATTTATATATTTACTTATTATTATAATGTACAATATATCATAATATAATTATAGTCTAAGGTATTGTTCATGTTTAGAGGTAGTTGATGCCTTATTTTATCAGGTGACTTGTCTAATTGAGTCCCTATCATTAAACGTATCGTCACCATCATTATCAACCGTTAACTGTCCACTGCTGAAAATAGACCTCCCCCTATCTTGATACGGTTGGCAGGCGAGTTGGCAACAGTTAGGCTTTAGTGATGGTTTAAGGGGCGCTGCTGCCCAGCCCTAGACCAGTATGTTCCCTTATTAGCCTTGGGTACCTCTGTTCCATTCATGTTTCAACCTTGAAGCAGTTGTGTTTGCATGGCTGTGTTTCGATTTGAAGGGTGGGATATGGCGTGAATTTACAGGGTACAGAGGAATAACACCTGAATCCTCAGGAATGGCAACGCATGGGGGGTATCATGGGCGAAACAGTATACTCTGTTATGTCCATGGTACTGCTCATGTCTATAGGCGACGGTTATCACTTTCCATCAGGTGGGCCGTCAGCTTGTTTGCCATTCTAAGTTGTATAAAAAATAAAAAAAACTTATTCAGTTCTATTCCATTATTTGTTTTATTATTAATTGTTTTGTAACTTTATTCCATTAATTAATTGAAGAAATGTCTTTAATGTTATAACTCCGTCTGAATACATTTCTGTTATAACTTAATATCAATATTAATAGTGTATGTATAAAACCACGTAATTTCAATATTAGATCTGCTAAAATAGTTAACACATTTTCAACATACGCTTGTCGTATTAAGTTAGGATCCAACTCTCCCCTCAACAGAATGTTATCATCGTATAATAAAGCCGTAAACGTTGACCATGATATCGACATCTTTGGTAATTCTTTAGTGCAGTATACTAGGCTTATTAATAATATGGATTGGTAGTTAGGTCTTTTCTAATTGTATAATTGTTAGTTAGTATACATTGACGCTTATCTGTGAGAGCTGTATACGCCTTTAATTGATATGTTCATACAGCCTTAAGCTTGGTAGTGAGGAGTAAGATGTTTTTGTTCAAACTTAGATTTAAGCATTTAGAAATAGTAGTTTTTCTCTTTATAAAATAAAAAAAAAAATAAAAAAAAAGTATAAATAAATAAATAATTTTTATACATAAACGGGCATGCTGAAAAAGTGAAATCGACTTTTTACTGAAAGCCGTTAAGTCTTCCCGTCCGACCGTATCATTTTTTAAGCGCTTACTGGCGTTCAATTAAGCCAAAACTTCGTTCGCATAATGTATAATTTATTACAATGAAGCTAATCTGATTGAATGTAACCCAACTGGGTTTGTCCTCGTTCCATTTGACACTGGCTGTCATTTTACATTGATTACAGTTTAATCAGGGATGATAAAATAATTGAAATTTTAAATGGTTTTTAAGTAGATATTTTCACATGAGCTTACCAAAGGGAGACTTTGTATTAAAAGCGTTTTTTTTTTTAAATATACTGGTATACCGCCTTATATACTGGTATACACTGGCGGGGCACGAATGAGAGATAGGTGAGGATTCAACAAGAATTGTTCACGATGGCTTCCAGGGGGAACCGCGTGGAGGTCGACCTGATAGGGTATAATGCTAGCAATAGGGCTATCAAATTCCACTGCTAACAATCCCTTCCCCCTGTAAAAAAGGCTTTTGCTTGGACACCTCTGTCCCATTCTTGTTATTACCGTGAAGCCTTAGTCACCTTTTATGACACCTACGGGAAGGGCATAGAATAGGCCACCCCTTCTTTTCCCGTGGGTGTCTTAAGAGGCAACTAAGGGAGGGCAAGGGATATGCAGCGGCATCCCTCTTAAAACATCTCCAAAACCTAACTGCGGTTGCTAATCTACCTA